GCATCTATAGCATGGGAGAAACAAACGCCATCATATAAGCCAGTTAAAATCACTTTAATTGGTGATCCTTTAAAACATTGGAGCAGTGAAAGCATGTGTTTGAATACCAAGTCAGAAGTTGATCTGAAGAAAAATTTTATTAACTCTAACAGCAGCAACGGCAACATCAATAACAACCATAACCACAATAATAGTCAGCAGGGAAATCAAGCGAAATTAACATCAATTGTAAATGGAAATAATCATCATCAATATCATCACAATCATCAGCATATAAAAAATTTATTAAAGGCGCAACAATATCAGAAACAACAACAGCAGCAACAACAACAACAGCAGCAACAGCAGCAGCAACAGAAACAGCAACAACAACAACAACAACAGCAGCAGCAGCAGCAGCAGCAACAAACGCAGCAACATTATTACAAAGCATCTCATCAACAACACAATAATTTAAAACCAACAGTTACTATAGTTTAGCATATATCTTTATGTAGATTTTACATAATCACACACATTCACCTATATACACATATATATATATATATATATATCTATATAAGTCTTAACTACAGAAAAAGATATTATTATTATTATTGCCTAACGCGCACACATATTGAACATAGTTTCATAAAATATTAAAACTAACACAATAACAGCAATAACAGTAATAGAAGCAGCAACAAAAATAATAACAATTGAACTGTTATTTAAATTTAAATACTGACATATTTAAGACTTTCGAAAGCGCAGCCAATATACATTATTCATAATTCATTACATTTGCAGATGCAAATCATCCATTACAATAAAGTATACATTTCAACGTCACTTATTTGCGCAATTCTTTCTCAAGCCCAATTAAGGTGATAGATTGCGGCAGTACGTGAACACGCCACACATAACACATATACATATATATACTCACATACACACATTCATTTACACGTACATTTCAAATGCGTTATGTACACATAATTATACATCACTTTATTTATAAAGATATATATATATACAAACAAAATCATATTAAGTGACATAATAAAATTCCTCAAGTTCATATATTGAAACTATTAAATTCATTTTTTCATTATTTTTTTATTTCATTACTTATAAAGAAAATAAAATATCAATATTTAATGATAATTTTTAAATATATTTCTGCACTTGCGCGCAATAATCCGTATATGTAATTATATACGTACGTGTGAGTGAATGCTAATAAAGTTAATATCATTATCAAATGTTCCCATTACTTTTAGTTAAATTATATATAAGCAAAGCAGAAGAAAAACAAAAAAAAACAAAAAAAATTAGTAAAAATATTCTCCATAATTTAAATTATAAATAATTTAATCTGACTTCTCATAATGTTTAAGTTTCATCATTGGTTCTCCGTCGAGAACCAGCACATGAATATTGCATAAATTTTTTCATATATCATTGCATACACATAAAATACATTTATTAAAAATCTTTTGAATTTAGTAAAAGTAAAGTACATTTTCTTTTTTTTTTTTTCTCTTCTTATTGATTTAAAATTTAAAAAAGTTTTTTTTTTTTTTCTATTTTTTGTTCTTTTTAGTTAGCTTTACTTCGCACATTCATTAAATTACTGTTTAAAGATGTAATTTTTTGAAATATATACAAAAATTATTATATCTTAAAAGCAAATGTTTCAATCCAATGAAAAATTAATATAGTAACATAGCTCGGATGGGATGGAATTAAAAAACAACTTCAATGTATGGTAATTCTGTCTAAAAGTAGCATTAGTAACTGTGTCAATGAAAAAGTCCATCGAACTAATTAATGAATCAAAACTTTTACTTATTTTTTGATGCTTTTCTTTCCAACATTTTTTATCTCAAGCGATTTTCTCAATAATTTCGGATTTCATGTGAAACTTTTAAAAGCTAGAATTCATTTTTGCATATATTCACATTTATGTAATAGTTTCGGAAGTAGGGAAATTGGAAGAGACTTTTAATAATTTGTAAACTGAATCCCAAGAGACGGGACACTTCTGTTTGACTTGGATAGAATATAGATTTTCCTTTAGTTCCTATTTTGTCAAATCATTTCAAAATGATTGCCATTATTTTCTTTCACGATTTTGGTAGCACTAGCTAGCAGTTTGGTTCAGTTCAGTCATGCGATTTAAAATTGCATGCAATTTTAAATTATACATCAATTGCGATATGTTTCATTCATTGTTATATGTCAGTGTGTCAAGTGAATTTCATGCCTTCTAAAGCTAAGGTTAAAGTTACGGGAAATGATTTAATCGAGTACGTTTTTGATTCAAAGTTCAAGTTCCGGCAGCCATCCATAGATTTACGGAGGTATCTTTCACTTAGAGATGTTAGAGATGTAATTTGACGACAAAGGTAAGGGAAATAAGCGGAGAACTGGGAATGACGTTTGTTTCAAAAAATCGCCAGATATATGGTAAATTCTTCCAAATAATACTTGCACGAAGTCGATAGTTTTTTCATCATCTCAGATTGGAAAAGCTCACAAAATCTGTTATATCCCATCGATAAGGCATTCCTGGGACAGACATTTAGAAGATGTAGACTTTTCTTTACTTAGTAGGAAATTGGCAAATGGATGTGATTCACTATAACTCATATGCGGTGCATCGATGAAAAGCAGAGTTCTTCTCTTCAAAGACTTTGGTTTGCCTATAGATCTCCAAAGAAGAATCAACTTACCTTACATTCGCCATAAACCCAGACACTCTTCAAATGTTCGATCCCTTTACAAAGCAAAATCTTTAATACCAGAAAAATGATTATTCAATTGTTTCACTTCCAACTATCAATTCTGGTAATAGAAAGTCCTTTACATATGGCCATCGTGGCTTTTAAGAACTCACAATATTCGGAGTAGGAAATCAGTTCGTAAATCATTTAGTCTGTTCACCAAAGCGCACTATAATAAAAAATAAATATCATCATTTATCATCAAATATATATCATATATATCATCATATATATAATCATTTCTTATTCGTTAAACAGCATTCTTACTAGCGCTAGTATTTGCTTTTCAAGCAAATTGAATGAAAATTAAAGATGGATTAATCGCACAAAAGACTAAGAGGGGAAACGGGGATGGCAAACTTTAAATTGTAATCACCAAAAACAGCTATGCTACTGGTCTGGTACATTTAGGTCGTGGATTATCCATACTACAGTGCAATATTCAATCATTTATAAAAAAAGTATAAATGTGTCAACTTTATTTTTAGAACTCTTCCGGCGTCTCTCGTACGGGTATAAGATTTGGTGGTAGCGACAGTGAATGTGGAAAGTAACTTTTCAACTAATATTTACATGTGCTTCACATTACTTTACAACTGTTTGTGCGTCCTTTGGAAATTTTATTCCTTTTAGCTCACCACAAAAGCAACTGTTTATAGTTCGCTAGTGTAGGTTACTAAGTTCACCACGCAAATGTGTTACAAGCTAAACAAAACAAGAATTTTGAAAAATTAAAAAAGTTTCATTTATAACGCGAGAAAAAAAGTAGAGATGAATGGTGCAGCAACAATGCTTTACCTCAGTAATTTTGTTAAATGCATACACTTACTACCGAAAATATAAATGCAAGCCTTATATCCGTTACTTACTGAATATAATACTTTTCTTTTAGGTTTCCTTTTGATGTCTTGATGTCTATATACACGCACTTGTATACTCGTAGACAGTCATTAAGTTCTTCTTGAACAGAGTCACAGCACGTTGCCAACTAATGGCCCTGGGACGATATTCGGGCAATATATCCCGGGCCCGTATTGGCATTACCTCGGGCCGTATTCTCGGGCATCATTAAGTATCACTATATAATCCTCTATTCCCCGTCCTTGAATGAAATCAGAGGTTTTGATATCTGGTTTTCTGGTTTTGTTACACGTCTCCTACAATTGTTCGTACCCCGCGGCGTAAGTAGTTACCCAAATAGGACAATTTCGATCTCCAGATATTCGAAAAGCATACTTTATGCTTTCACCCATGTCACATGCTTTTTCTGGACATAGGTTGAAGGGGCAGAAACAACTTGAGTACCAGGCAGCTAAAGATTTTCAGAAACATAAGCCTTAAGCCAAGGAAGTGGTATCCGCCCGTCAAAGATTGATTGGTAAATATATTCCAGTTCAGTTGTCCCCCACAACTGGACCTTTTACACCTCTTTGCGTGTCAATCAAATGGCGTTGCGTTTTACGCAAGAGATTGTTGATTAAGCCAAATTGGAACTTTTTTAAAAAGCCGGCTTTTTCAGGTCTTTTTCTAAGCTAATTGGTAGCAGCAACTTAGGGCGGGCAAATAGGTTCATAGAAGGGCAGCCTATGCAGCGCCTTATCGAGTTCTTGTAACCCGACTTACACTCGCTTTCTCCACAATCTTACAAAAATGCCAAATTTGAGGTACAAGTTGTGATCTCAGGACACAATATGTTCGCAAGTTTTCGTCGGATGCGATCATAGGTCTCTGTGAAACTCTTGCTAAATAAATGTTACCACTGGACTGTGAGCTCTGTTGTTGGAAAGAACTCCTACACAATTAGGCGGTATAT